TACCCCGGCTCTACGCGGAGCCCCCTCAACATACTACACTACCAAGATAAAATAAAGGTCTTTCAGCAACAACGCAGTCCCCCGACTAAGAATCCCCACTATCGTTTGGAGACTCTTACCAAGATTGATCTTCAAGCGAAGAGGAAGTAGTCCTTCCAAGAGTTGGCAGCCTAAAAGCAGGGTAAGAAATACCGCTTCGTGGCTGGTAATTGGAGGGGCACCGGTGGATATCCAGCTCACTTCCACTACTAAATTTGCGAGGTCACTGACACCCCTTCAATCTGCGTGATTTAATGCTTCATCTACTTGCAAGGTAATTATCATATTGATTTTTCTTCGCAGAAACTTACTTCGTGGAAGTTCGTTGTCAATCTTTAGTGTTTGTTCTAAGTTAGGTTTTTTGGGGTCTTTTTGAATACTGATATACCAGTAATGTTATCTTATTCATTCATTAGTCCCGTTTTAACAGACTTTTTTCACATTTCCATATTATTACTACATTACTACGATATTATTTACTTGTTGGGGGGAATCCTAAAATATCTTACTTAGTCTGTAAAAATATTTCCGCCCTAAATGCTGTTGTTTTCGAAAGAACAAATATTTTGTTCTTTTTTTCACGATGGTCCGCCGACCGTAGTATAAGAGTTCATTTCACTTCGTCTATACATTTCGTTAACAGCCGCTGATTTCTTGTGTGTAGTGTTTGCAAAGGTTGTGTTGTGGGAGTCTCCATTAATGAACGGTTAAACCTTAAAAAAATGTACAGAACAAAAATTCACCAAACGCATTGTAAGATGTAAAGTAGTAAATAATTGAAAGATGTAGAGTAGTAAATAATTCGATCAGTGAGAAGTTAAATTTTATTTAAACAATTTCTTACAGCGAAAACATTGCGAATTCGAAATCGAACCCAGAGCATAATGGTATGGTCCAAATATGGTGGCTGTTTCCAAGCCACCTGGTGAAAGGATAATCGTCAACAAAAAGTACGATTCCCACACGTTAAACCTCCCTTTTTCATGAATCCGCAACACCACATTGTCTAGGAGCATTACTCCAATGCAAATTCACTGATCACTCCTGGCAGTTGAAAACTGTCGCGCCTGTTTCCCACCCTCACCCCGCGGATGTTGTTTGCATACTACAAACGCCCTGTAGTTCATATTACGGAAGATAAATTACAAGATCATCGATTTAATCTTGGAAAATACCACGCTGCTTTTTTTTATCACGAAGCAGTTGACTCAAACATGAAACAGGTGAGTGGAATGTAAGTTGCAGTGAATATTATACACTGTAATCAGCCAATTTGTGAAATTGCGACAACAAATGGAATACACTATCTTTCAGTTGGCGGTTTGAATACTCTAAGTTAATGAAAGAGAACTTTGAAATACAAAGAAAGTATGTACTGCTTTTTATGACGACAACATCGGTAATCACGGTAAACTTACAGCTTCTGGAGCTTGACGAGTCCTTCGAAGGCTGCAGACATAATGGAATGGATGTAGGAGTTTCTGATGTGGCTGCCAAATAAAAAGAATGCAAAATATATTTCAGGAAACATAGGTGTGCATTAATTACGAAAAGAACAAGTCATCACCCGCACCCCCCCATTTCAAACGAAGATTTACGCCCTTGGTTTGATTCTTATGGAAATCATGGCAAATGACTGCAAAGAGTTATTCTAAAAGATTCCAAAGGCTCATCCCCTGAAAAACTGGACTGCAGCGATATCGGAGAAACTGTCTGGAGGGAGCAGATTCCGCCCCTTGCTCTAATAGGTGAAGGTTGATATGAACAATATGTTGGGCATGCGGATCACCGCAGCAACAACGAAACTGTAACGCTGAAAAATTGAATACTCTTTGAAGCCATGAAAAGCTCGTTTTGTATCCTACAACAATACACACAATAATCAGGTCAATTACAATCGCTCGCATACTGGGGTGTGAGGTTGCACTGATCGTTCCTCATGGGTTACTAAACTGCACACCAAGCTGCACCACGTACGCATGACGAAGAATGTGGACTACACCCGGCCGATTAGCAACTTGATTTCAAATCTAGGTGAAAATATTGTGCAAAATTTGTCTGTTGGAAGTTTTCAAGGTTACGGGCCAGAATGGTTGTTCCAAACGGTAACCAAGAAGCTTGTATTGAGTCATAAGGGTCATGATACTGTGTAACAAGTGCTCTCGTGAAAGGAAGCACAAGGGGTGAAAAGGCTCGTGTTAGAAAATATTTGAGGGATACCCCCCGTACTTTCAGACACATCATGAGGTTCGAAATGTGTTTTGGTACCCTGAATGGAATGTTATCTCTTCCTAGTTGCATGGGGGGGGTATAGAACACATGCACTTCAGAAACAGTTTGCAAACTTACAGATAACGCAGCAGGAAAAAGCCCCTGAAAGTGCCGGAATGCAGAGTAGATAAATTGCCTTTCGCTAATGTCCTGCAAACAATATGAAAGCAAAGGTTTAGAAACTTTCCCCTTCAAAAAGATATGTATTCCCTTGAGGTTTTGTTAATGAATAATAATTCAAATATATTACCACTCTCATGAAAACCTTCAGAAAGAGGTCAAGGTCAAACTGCTTTTAAATAAAAATTGCATTTTTGACTTTGCCGTTCCTCTTAGATGCTTACAGTGAACTGGATGTCAGTCTCCCAGCCCAATTCGAAAGTGTATAAAATAATGTCTATCGTATTGCTCAAAGTTCCACTTTTGGGTAGGAATTAAAAAAATAAATGCAGATCCGCCATAATTTGTCGACTAAACAGAGAAAGCTCAATTTCTCAATCGAATTTGTGCATAACTTCCCCAATAAAATGTGTTTCAAACAGGAGCATGCCTTACATCTTCACCGTTAGCTTGGGAAGTCTGCGGATGGTGTGAGTATTCCAGCCTAGCCAACAGGAAGTTTGATGCAAGTTCTGCATGCACCGATACAAGAAGATCTGCCTTGATCCTACGCAGTTAAAAAAAAGTCGAATAGATCAAATCAAATCAATAAAGTCCGGACAGATCCAGCCATGTCCAGAGTGCCGGATATAGAACATCTCGTGTTTCCTCTCCCTTTTTCCCAAGGTATTATCACTTAGGTCTGCAGTTTTTTAGGAGTCGTTTTGGTCACTTTTATGAATACACCAATGAAGAACCCTAATGCGTATATGATCCTGGAACTATGACGTACTTGTAACATCATGCTTCCAGGACCGTGCGATTTATAATTGTAATTTTGAAAACTTATAAATTAGGATCACATTACAGAATTAGAAAAAAGGTCCAGTTTTAGAGGCAGGAGGAAACCGGAGTATACCCAGAGAAAAACCTGCGAGGAAACCAAATGCACTTAAAAGCCTGGGCTAAGTTTTTGAAAATTTATTTTAGCCCATTCAATTTAGTAGAGGATTTTCTAGGTGCCATTTTGATCAATTTGCAAATCTCCATCTTTATTAAAATTATACCAAACAAAGACACACCGACAGCAGACCGATATTGGATTACTGTTGTAGTAACGTCGGGCGATCACCAAGCAAACGTTGAAAAAGTCAATACCTGACGTCCTTCTGAGGGCATTTTTGCACCCAATGCCGACGGGAATATAATGTGTAACTCAAAACTCAGGAAAACGTTAGAATAGACATTAAAACTCCAACGAAAATATTTAGCTGACGTTAAGGCCACGCTCAGTATCATTTACCAAACTTCGAGCCGGCGTTAACCCGACAATTTCTTATTCTACCTTCCAGTCTAGCTGACGTTACATCGACGTTCCATCAAGTAAGGTATAACCTGCATGTTACTTTCGCGGGCTTACCCAGGGGCTGGGGCTTCCTATCATTACATGCCAGATATTTCTTTTTTCAACTTCTTTATGCACCCAGTGACTAAATTTCTTACATCTTGCAATACATTCCAGGATCGAATTTTAAATGGTGTTGTTTTATTTTTGCTGTGTTTTTATTAGCTTCAAAAACAAACTAAGGATTTTCATTCTCAGTAAACTATTATCTTTTCTGGCAATGGATGGCATTTATATGCAAAATTGCATTCACAAAGCAGAAACAATAATTGAATATCAAAGCCTTGCGAAACTCATGATAAATGGGAAAAATCGTTTGAGAAATGTACAAATAGCCTATTCCTGTCGACATGCTAATTAAGGTCAAAGTTCACACTTTAAAACTTTACTGAGTGATTGCAGTGAATGTTACAAAAGCGCAGTAAATACATGAAGCAACACATTAGATAAATGTAAAGGTCGTTCATAGTAGGTTTACGTCTCAAATGCAAAAAAAATGCAATTTTTGCAGTAACAGTTTACGGTGCGGAGGTACGTCACACAGAGACTACACAATGACGTCCTTACGATGCCAAAGCATGGACCATCAACTGACGTCAAATGTTGAACATTTTCAGACAAGTGTTCAACGTCAAAAGGCTGACTTCAGGCTGACTTCATATTTTGATCCCAAACAGCACACAAGACGCACACAAAACTAAAGCACTTACACGGTAGTGAGCAGATCTTAAACTTACACACCAGATCTTAAACAATTTCGCCAAGATGACCTCATTTTTGATTCATCTTGACACTTTGAACCTTAAAGTTTTCTATTGCCTTTGTTCACAGTGTTCAAGAGGCCTGTTAGGTCACCTAGCAATTTCAGATCTTCAAAATGGCACCGAAGAGAGACTGCACAAAGTAGACGGTCTTGAAAATGACGTAATGATGACACTTTACTTGATTTGTGATGAAAGTTTAAGATATCTTTTTAAAATTGACTTTGTACATATTTTCGAAGAGGCAGTTTGGTCATTAAGCAAGCAAATCCCTACCCAAAAAAAAGGACATAGATGGTAAGGGACAATCACATGGTGATGACATCACCTCTTTATCATTTATTATAAAAAGTGGATGGTTTATTATCCCTGTTGACGTTCATTATCCACAGTTTTTCAAAAGGCCCCTTAGGTCCAAATAAATAAATTACAAATAAATTGTTACTTTTAAAACCTTCAAAATTGTATAAAAATCACGCGATTTCTGTTATTGGCCTTAGATTAAAGCGATTTACAAATTTCGCTGACAAGTCATGCTAAGTAGATATTTTAATATCAGATATTACTTGAAGCTTGTACCCTTCTACATAGAGGTGCTGAAAAGCCCTCTGGTGTGTTGCAATCAGACGAAGAACTCTAAATGTCCTTCTATGATTCTACATTTCTTAGGTACTACCTTTCTCTCTTTCTGGTGTCTAGTGAAGTGCAACGTGAGATTTAATATTTTGTTTTCCTATATTCATGTACGTTCAAAGAAAAAGGACACAATAATTTATCAAAAAACAAAAACAAACAAAGCCCCCGTCAGAGTTTTCACGAAGTGAAAATTTTGGTCCCCGGCCGGTAAGGATTAGTTTCGAGAATCGATCTTCGATCGTTGAGTGAAGGCTTGATTACTCTTTTAAAGGCGGCCACTTTGCGCTTCGAGAAAATATATAAGCTTATAAACAGTTAATTTCAACCCCTTCGGGCATTGTACAGTCAAGAAGATTTTGTAAACAAAATCATAGCCAAGGTATATCGTACGCTATGCTCATTTACCTGAATTTAACGATGCGGGACAACGTTGTTGGTAGTGCGTTATCCGTCCCGAGCTGAAGTGCACCCCCACTCGGCAACAGAAAGACAGGTAGTTACAAGCAGGTTCTTGCACGTGTTCTGCATGTACGCGAAGACCCTACAAGCCGGAATAAATTAGTTACGCGTACTAAGCTCCCTGCGTCAAACGTGCATATACTTGCGCGCTTCATGGTGCGCCTATGCGGTGAGTACCCAAAAAGACTTTTGTTCCGCTCGGAGCAGATTGGGAACGACAGCGTGTCATGCATTATACGCTATAATAAGGTTTGTATACAGATGATTTTGGTTTTCTTTTAGAGATTTAGCTTTTGCGTGTAAAACTTCACTGCCGAGGGCGCCCCTTTCTGTTGAACTGAACACAAAGGTCGCATTCGAGCAGTATGTTCTTGACACGGGTTTCCTGTTCTCGCCCTCGAACGGCGGGAACATGACTCAAGAACACTGTTCTCGGAACAGGATCGCACACCACCTCCTTGTCAGGGTTTTACACGAACACACGGAAAAGCTCGTGAGATTTGATTTTTGAAAAGCTGCAAAACTATCGAGAAGGCTTAATACAAAACTGGAGACAATGGAAAGTTTTGCACAATAAACATCAATAATTTTCAATGACAGATATGATTTTTTCATGGAACAGAAGTTAGCTTAAACATTAACTCTCGAAGAATGTCCAAGGACACCGCCATGTTGCATGCCAGTAACTAGTAGCGATAACCGGTTGTACGTTCCCAGCGTTCGAGCGGCCGACCCACAAACATCAAATCGAGCTGTTCCTGAACATTTGAGAACAAGCCGCCCGAACTCAGCCATAATCTCCGAATGACAAAATACACGCTGTAACATTATCATGATATATATATTTTCTAGCATAAGTGTATCTTTTTTATTTCAATTGGCTTGTGCACACATGACCAAGGAGTTAAAAACGTCAACTTTGTTTCTAACACTTATTCCCTATTAACGGATTGCAAATGTTTCATTATTCACTTATGGTGATATCTGTATCCTTGTTATTTATCCATATTTATAATACAGCATAATAATTGTCATATTTCTGTTCCCATGTTTTCAGGATCTTTATATAATGGGATTCGTTTACGACGTCACAACTTTTCATCACCATTCAGTGATCACCAATGAAAACATCAAACTGACATAAGTGTTTCATTTCATTTTCAGTATCAATTGTGTAAGCACGGGAAAGGAACTTTTGGCTTCAATGTTGATTTAGAAGAAACTACCCCCTTCCAGCTTAAGTCATCACATCTTGCTGCCCGTCCATCATTTATTCTTCCATGTAGTTTTGCTGAAATTGATGTGTGAAACAGTATTAAAATAAAGAAATGTTTAGAATCAATGCCAAATGTTTTTATGGTCAAATAAGAAGCTTCCAAGTTTCCTGAGTGAGCTAGTGTGGTCTCACCCCAGAAAATCACTGAATTTAAAAATAGAATGGTTGATTTGTTCAGGAACCAACCTCTAGTTTGTTATGCGTTTAACGTAAATGTGTTGCTTATTATTGTGATACGGCTACAATGTTGAAATGGAAGGAGACAAAAGGACCAAACTCCGAAAAAGTTTAATTTTGATACACAAATTTTTCACGCAAAAAGAACCTTCTACAAGAGAAGGAAATATCTTCTAATCATGAGCGTAACGTATGTTTTGCACTTGATACAACACTCAGCAATGCCTTAGAACTATAAGTATCCAATAAAACTGTTTGCACCCACCTGCATTAGTTGGTAAAATCCTTGCCTGGGGAATGTCATCATCTGACTCCGACAACGAGTCATCTCCATGGACTGCTATGACCTTCCCCGTCTACTTCCGCTCACCCAGGGCGTGGAGACAGACAAGCCCTTGTGTAGTTTTCCCTCATACTTCAGGCAAGATGCAGCTACAATATTTGTGAGCCATCATTATCCCAAAGGACAAAGACATCCTTCTCCCGGTTGAAACTTAAGCAAAAATTGTTACAAAATGTGACTGCAGTATTTTTGTCCTGCACTGTACAGTGGAATAGATTTCTTGGTAAAGCATAAACTGTTGTTTTAAAATTAACTGCCAATTACCAGGTTAGCAGACTTGGAATTATAAATTAATTTGTCATTAGTTCTGCCTTGTGGATTGTCATTACTCTAATGTCTTTACTCTAATGTTAAACTGCCAAAAATTGCCTGGATTAGGTTGTCTTGCTTTTACTCTAAATAAAACTATACCTCTCAGCACTTTTAGCAAATTTTCTAGTTTCTTTCTTGCAGTGACCGATTTTATATTTGCATAAATGCATACTTTGTAGGTGTGCGCGTACATTATATGAAGTCTGTTCAGTGGCAATCCATAGTAGTAGCCACACATCGAACACAAAACGTACCATCATCATTTTATTTATTTTTGTTCTCATCTTATGGTTCTTTTGATTCTCAGTCACGGTAGCCTTCCTCCGGAATCAGAAGTTTCCTCATTTGAATAAGAAGACAGAAATTTAAATGAGAAATCCCTTTTAAGGTGAATGCATTTGAAATTCAGGATTCGTGGTATAAGTTCAATTTTAAGATGCAGTGAAACCCACAACCAGTCTACTACGTGTACAGCCTACAGCTATTATTCTACTGCTCTTTATATGTAAAATTAATAAGAACAGTTTGTTTTTTCCTCAACAACATTGGTGGTATTATAGGTCTAGCTGTCGCTAAGTCCCATAGTATGAAATGCGGAAAATATCCATTTCAATCATTTAGACTCCAATAAGCTAATACATGTACAAAACCATTTCAATTAACGAGACTTAGGCCTATAAAGCTTTCCCGATTTAATTTAAAAGACCACAAACGTTGGGAACAGAAAACAGACCCACCTTATGAGCAACAAAGGGTGAAAGAAGAAGTTATAATTTCTTGAATATAAATTGAATGCCATCATTCGATTTCTTAATTTTTGTTAAAAGTGAGCTATCCTATCTGGGGAACCCTATACTTTATGAAAGAGAGTGTAGGCTTACAGTCTTCACTGTTTTGCAAGTAGGCCTATAGGCTAAACAACTATGTTTAAGGTTGGGGAGGCCATGGGGGAGACTGCATGTGATCTAGGCTTTTGTGTACAAAAGGTAGCTATTTTTACAATTTCCCGGAAGCGTATTTTTTTTATTTACACCGTAGCCTTGGATTTTTCGCTTTGTTAGTGCTAATTCGTGCTTGAAAAAAGACTAAAGCTGACTGAACCGGTCAGAGAGAGCGCGCGAAAACACGAAACGATGGTGCCTGTACTACAACAAATAAATATCTGTATTTAATTCCGACAATTGATACTTCAGAGGTGATGGACCGATGGATTGTGACAGTGATTCCTCTTCCTCTGATGGTCAACTTATTTCTTTTCTTTGTGTGAAAAAAGCAGAATTTTAATCACCACCGTGATCGCTGGCTTGATGAGCTAGGTTAGCCAAACTCACGCAATGTTTTTAGCATTATTACTTTTTGGGCGAGGGGGATAAAATACAGGCTACGGTGTAAATAAAAAATACGCTTCCCGGAAATCGTTGAACTATACTCGCCTTATGGGTGTATGAAGAATGTACAGAAAATATGAAGCTGCGTAATTCACGATGACACATCCCGAAAAGGTCTTTTGAACTTGCATTTCGGTCAGCAAAATAACAGAAAAATGTAATTGTAAAGAAAAAAGGGAAGTCCTGATTGTGAGAAAATATTGAGAGGTTTGGGTAACAGAAGCAATGATTTCCATGTAATTGTTGTTTGACATTTCTTACACATATATTCCCGTATGTGTGGGTCCTCGCACAGTGGCCATGCAGAGACTATATGGGCTAGGCGAGGCCTAGCTTTAAGCATCAACACAACCTCGGAAGTTGAATGCAATGACAATTGTTACAGTAACTGTGAGTCATTCATTAATGTCCATGTACAGTTACGGAACTTTAGACACTTGTTCTTTGTCTCAAATAAAATTATCCCATAACTATTACTAACGCTGATGTCGAGTCCATTCTCCTAGGCCGCCTGTTTAAGATCGGCCAAGCACATATCTATTCCCTTAGTAAATTCATCTTTTGATCTTGTGTGGTTGGCAAAATACTTATATAGAAGGAAGCAAGGCCAAAGAGGGGAATTCCTGATTGTGAGAAAAATAAGAGGCTTGGGTATAAGAACAAGGCCACAGTTAGGCCTAAGTGAGTAAGTAGGCTTAACGTTAACGTTAGGCCTACAAATACGAGTTCGAAAAATGTCCATGTTTTGGGGTTACAAAGAAAACCTTTAACGATAAAAATACACAGCAGACACAGAGGCCTGTAGGCCTAGAACGTTTGAATACTAAGGCTAGCCTAGGCCTCAACACACGTTCACTTACAGCTAAGTTTAGCCTAAGGTTAAGCATGTTACTTGCCTAAATTAACGTTAGGCCTATTCCCCCATGCTAACCGTACAAAAAAGTTATGAAACAGTTTCATAGCCCTGGCAAAATTCCAATTCAAACTTCAAAAAAGAATACTAAAAGAACGGTCATAAAAGCCTACATAAGGGTTTACGGAAATCTCAAAACAACGAAGAAGCGGAGGCGACAACTTCGCCGCGGCGGTAAACAATGAATAGTCCCCCCAGCATAGCAAGCGAGTAAGTCTCTGCACGTGCCTATAACGTTGTAGAAAATCTATTGCAACAATCTCAGTATTATTGCACAATAATAGATCCTGAAAGTTGACCCCGGATGGCGCACCTCTGGGACTCTTGGATAGGAAAAATAACGTGCAAAGATTTTCGAATTTGTAATATGTTTTCGTTCAGTTATTTCTTTAAAAAATCCATCTTGGAAAAAGAGCTTTGAAAAATATTTGCTGGTAAATCAATTTATAGAAACTGAAAGAGAAATGTCCTGCCAAATATTGACCCATCACTTCCGAAAATCTAAAACACGTGAAGGACAGTCCAATGCGGCTGTCTCGTTCGCAGATGAACATTTACGGTTTGAAATTTTATGGTAGTCTGTCTGTAAAAGCCAAATAAAAACAGATCAAAATATTTTACAGTTTTTTGATTTATAAGGTAATAAACTTGAAGCAATAATCCACTGTTACGAAAGATTCTAATAGTTTATTTAATCTTTGCTGACAACAACTGCGTTATGTCAGATCAACGGAATATGGAGCCCATCGACTACAGGTACGTAAATCTTTGCAACGTTTTACACGGGGAGTGAAAACAAACGTACATGAACAAGGAGCCCTAGGTACGATATCGCCGGACGTGGAAGGTCGTTAATGAAATTCGTTTTAACCCATCTCCAGGTGAATTTTCCTGGATATTACTCGAGGAAGACAAAGGTAAAATTCCAACTTGAGTGTTTCATGCGGTTGTTTCAGTTAGGAATTACTCTTCCAAAAATTATCGAACATGATAGGACGGCCCTATGTAAAATCCCCCCAGGGGTGCACCCTCGTATTTAGGCCAGAAA